ACAACAGTTGCTTTCCCAAACCTTCACTAAAAAAGAGCATGAAGCAACAGCTCTAGGAGGAGGATCAATAGTATTACCCTGATTCTGCCACATTAGGGATATCCATGACCAGTCAACTCTAATCCAGTACAAAGGTCTAATGAGATACAACAAAAAGTCAAAGTCAGACAAGAAACAAGGGTCAAATTATTAACAATGTGACTAATTTAACCAGAATTATAATGAAATCCCGAACACTTAGTGGAAAAGCTCTCCAAGAAACCATGCAATTCAAATGGAAACGTTAGTCCTGATGCAGAAATTACTGGTTGCAGTCTTTGACCTTTCTACCCCTGACATCTGGATGGAACACCATGGGATAGCCTCAGGAGGGCTGTGCTGCCCCAATCGGCACCTGAGCTCACCATTCCTTTCAAGCAGGCCTAGCATGTTCCCTCCCACTCCCAGTTTCTAATTCTCCATGTATTTAGTTTTCAAATTTTACATGATATATTTTGCCTGTGGCACAGTAGATCGCTTACCCTTCTCCTATTAGCCCTCTCTGTTTAATTACAGTTTAATGTGAATTGATCTTTACATTAATGAGCCTGTAAAGAAGATTGATTTTCTTCAAGAGACTTTTATGCTCAGTTTGGCAGCAAAGCAGTCCTATTGATTTCGCTTTCCCCAGTAAATACACTGCAGTGTCATTGCCTCTTCTGTGAATCAGCTAATCCTATTTCACAGTCTTTTGCTCCAAAAATCCCTATTCTGACTTCCTTGTTATCCATGCTTACTCAGAGCAAGATCACGGGGCCAAAGCATCTCAAACAGCTTTGACTGTTGCTAACATACAGCTGACTGCCATGGGTCACTATCCCCTTTGTTCCTAAATGGTTGGGGGCTTAAAAGACTTACTGTGAAAGAAATGAAAGTTATTTTTAAGTGTTTAATCTGTTAACTTCCGTAATTCCTAGCCAGCTAAGGACATGGCACAGTGTGTTCTATTTACCACACTTGCTTCAGAGGTCTGGTTAGCAGGCTCTCCGCTGAGCTCCACAGCTGTGTACGTGCATACACTCTCCTGTGCTGGCATGCCTGCATCAGTGGATGCAGACTGAATCAAGCTGGCCACCTTGGGGACAAGGATCCACCTCTGTCATCCTGTGCAGACATCCCCAAAGCCCTCCAGGATGCATTTACCCACATGCAAGTAGATGAAGCAGTGGCAGACAGGTCTCAGAGTAAGGGCTGAGCTTGCATCTGCACAGGGGCTTGTGGGAACCCTGTAACAGCAGACCAATGCAGAGCTGATTGCAGCTCAGGTCTTCCTCTTACTTGGCATGCTAACAAGGCTAAGAGACTCTCCATGCAAGTTAGTGAGGAAGATGGATATAACAGACTCAGTTCTGCTGCAAATAAATGGTTTCTTCCATCCTCCCCTTCCCTATCAGATCAGGTAACAGAGTCTTCAAGAGCCTACAGAGTTAACACACTTGAGTTGCAGCAGAACATTGGGAAGGGAAATCCTCAGCCAAGAGCATGTCAGTGAAAACATCCTGCCATCAACTCCCGAATGTCCAAGTCTAGGAACTGTAGCTAAATTACAAATTCTGTGGGAATTTCAAGTAAGATTCTCCTCTCAGCTACTCCGATGTAATTTCGGAATGAATCCAGATTCACTCTCTCCCCCTCCCAGCTGAATTTCCTGGCTTTTGTTTGTGCTAACAGATGTTTGCATTTAATGCGTGTCTTTATTTGGTAACCCGTACATAGATTATTTTTCCCTTCTGTTCTATTAAAAGCCTTATCAAGTCCCTTATGTTTGGTCTTGTTGAGATGAACGATTTTGGCAGTATTTTCAATGTGCAAGGCAAACAAACTGACTCTTCAAGGAACAACTGAACTAAACTTCATGGCAGTATATTAGCATATAGTATGTTTGATACACATGTTATGCCTTCATCCATCTGCAGCCTGAAACATCCAAAGATTTGCAGAAAGCCTTGAGAATTCTCTCTCCAACAGATTCCCACATGCTTATATATATATACACATAACTGGCCCATGATCCACATACATGTGGGGTCAAGCAGGTTTTGGGTGATGGAGACAGGTATGGGAAACCCAAAAAACAGGGAAAGTAAAGCAATGAAGCTCATTAAAAAACCTGTATGGAAAATTTGGGTTTGGCAGTATGGCAGACTTCTTTCTCCCAGCATCAAAAGAAGAAGTCTCTTTCCCAGTTTAAGAAGACTAGATGAAAACTCACTCAAAAGGGCTGTTCTGAGTGACAAATATACAACCCTTGCCTCTAATACATTCACAGTCCCTTGGAAATACTTAACCACATGCAATATACAAAACCTACTTCAGAGGTTTGTGAGGTAAACACACTTCACACATTTCTAAACACTGGGAAAAAAAGGAAATGTATTTATTTTTCTTTAGCAGTAAGAATACACTGTAACACTATATACTTAAACATAAACCAGTTTCTTAGTACACAGTCTTCATTATGAGTCTTCACCCTGGGTTTGGTTTGGCAGCCTCCCCAATTATTACTTCACAGGTTTGAAGGCCAGAAGAAACCAGTATGACCATATATATATATATATAATCTGATTCCTTACATCACACAAGGTCAAAGAACTTTACCTAACAATTTGTGTATCAAACCCATTAACCTAGCATTGAACTACAGGACCATCTTTTAGGAAGCCTTCCAATTGATTTAGAGACTCCCAAGGATGGAGAAAGCTTCACTTCCTCAGCAAATCATTCCAGTCTTAGTCAGCAACATCGATTAAAGCAGGTACTTTAAAACATCTTTCAGATTATTTTTACGTCTGATAAAAATTAAAAGGAAATGCAAGGAGAAAAAAGTGGCATTCTCTGAAACAAGCTAAACAAAGAGATCCTTCTTGCCAGGGGTATGACAGCAGCATTACAAATCCCACTATCAGAGTTATTTATGTGTAGCAGCTGAGGAAAGCAATACAGATTTCTGGAAAGTGATACTAAGCAGGTCTGTTTAGAATACCGTCCTTTTATCATCTGGCTTTGTACCTTCCCCTTCCTTCTGCACCACTCTGAAATTTCAGAGGAGCTGTAAATCTACAGCCTTCCACCAGTCATTGTTCCTCCTTTCCAAACTGCTTATTTCATTTCAGGAATAAAAAACCCAAAGCTCTAGCAATTTGGTCCTTTGCCAACAGCTAAATTAATAGCAAAAATAACAACAGGGGCTTGTAAAACTCAGATCATTTAGAGACTTCGTGAGAAAGAAAAGCCGATTTGGGGGGCCTAAAACTATATCCTGGATGGTAAATTGTATGCAAGCTTTCCACCCATAAATCAGATTTCTGGAGTTTTTTGAATCCCAACACATAACACACTGGGTTATGTAGCAGCCTGGTAAGCTCAGCTCAAGTGGCAGGCAGATGGCCTCTCATGTCAGGGGATCATGCCTTAAACAAGGGACCCCGCTTGGAGGGAGTTACTGCCCTGCTCTGCAGCCAGCAGCCTCCAGATCACGCACCCAGACTTCACACGTGGCCACGCAAGGGGGTAGAGGCTGCGGCAGGAGGCAGAAATCAAACAACTTGGTTTCACACCAACCACGTGTGACACATTTGACAGGTCTGATAACTGCTGAGACACAAACCACCTCTCCATCCAGGAGGTGAAGTGGTTACTTATGCATTTAACAGGGACACTTGCTACATCTAACACTGATGATAGCAGAGGAGCACTTCGACTCTAAGCTCTACAGGAACACAGTATACCCAAAAACCAGATCAAAACTACTGTATCGCCAACAAAAGCTAAACTTGCTTCACACCAGGAGTGAGAGATGGACCTGAAGTTAAGATCCTTAAACTGAATTCAGACAGTGAGGGAGTTGTTCTGCTTTGCATATTTTAACACTGCCTAATGGAAGAGCAGGAATCATGCCAGGTCATTTCACTCAATTCTATCCTTGATTTAAGGAATGTACTTTTAGTCAACAGATCAAGGTTGTCTTGGAGTAAGTTGGAGCCTCTCAAGCATGCACGGCCAATCACCTGGTGGCATGGACACAGGCATTTTCCTCTACAAGAAGCAAACCCATGGCAAACATGGACACCTGCGTAGCGTGCACACTGCAAGGCCATGCATGCTGGAAGCCATCCCTGGACCTGCTCAAGCACTTTGCTGGAGTCTATATTAGCTATAACCACTTCCCCTTCACAGGAACTTGGGAGGTATCATGCGTACCTCAAAATTCCTTCTCTGTGTGCATTACAAGCACACACACGCAAAAATAATTTTAGAAATCCGCACTCTTAAGGTACTAAGAAGTTTGATATTATAATGTATTCCCTTCAGCAAGTCCCCAAGTTGGTGTCAGTTGGTAAGTCAACTGGTGCCCCAGCCCAAGATCATTGGTGGCAGATACACAAGGATTCTCAGGTGTCCAACACTTCTGCAGGCATCTAAACTACCATTAGGAACTTCAAAGCTTCTGCAGATCTAGCCTTACAATCATTCACTCAAAAGAAAAAAGAAAAAGAAGTTGAGACTATAAAAGTGGGCCTGGAATGAGTTCTCTGAAAGATTAAGATGTGAATAGTCTCTGGCTTTAAGAGAAAAGAAGTAGTGATCAGAACAGGGCCAGGGGAAAAAAAGAGAACACTAAAGAAAAGGTAAAATTATATACTCCCTTAAAAGCACAAATATGACATAATGGTTGAAACCCTAAGGCAGATAAGAAAAAAATAACATTACTTAATAAGTCAGTAAACTCCACAGGTTACATAAGTTACCACTGACCATAAACACAACATTAATCAAGTCCAACCTCATGCAAATGACACTACTTCAGAAGATGTTTCTTAATTAAGGTGCCAACAAGCCCAACAATGAAATCTGAAGTCAGCAGAAGTGAGTATGACACACAAAACTCAGTCAGTACCAGCTAAACCTACCCCACAACAACAGCCCAAAGTCAAAAGCCAAAAGAGGTGGCAGTGACTTACAGGTGGAGGAAGCGGACGCTGGAAGCAGCGGGTCCCAGGGAGGGAATGGCGGTCAGCTCGTTGTTGTTCAGTCGCCTGCAACAAACAGAAATTAATTGTTGAAGCCAACAACCTATGAACAAGCCTGTGGGAGCAGGGAATGGCTGCGGCCCTCCTTATCCAACCCCCCAACTCTCCAGGAACACCAACATTTTGGCAGAGGCCCCCTTTGTCTGGGTCTCTCCAACAGTCGCACCTTAGCCTGCCAACCCTTTAACAAATGACAGCCACCATAAGTAGTCCCACAGTATCTTCTTCATAAAGCAAGACTTTTTTTTTCCTCTTCCACCCACTCTCTTAAGCAAAGTCAAGTGCCACCAAGGCAGGCAGTGTGCCACAGCCCTCCATCAGCCTGAGTTTCCACAGTCAGCAGGGAACCAAGCCTGAGATAGGAGACTGCACCCATGGCCAGGACAAGGAATTTAACTCCCTCCCCAAGCAGTAGCCCCTCCATGCCAGGCCAGGGTGTGGGGGCCCCGTGGGGTGCCATAGCAGAGGGCAATGGCAACCTCAGGCCTCCTCTCCACACCAGGCCAAGCTCTGGAAATCCCACAAATGGCAGCCCCACGAAGCCAGCAACACGCACACAAACTGGCACTGGGCACAGTAACGCCACCAAAAGCAGGTGACCTGCTCCATGCAGCCCCCCAGGGCTAATGGCAATTACAGACAGCCCCGCTCCTGGAAACACCAGTACAAAAAATGTCCCCTTCAATGGCCTAATGTTTGAAGTGTTTTTCTGACTGAAAACAGATCCTTGCCATGTGACCAGCTCTTCCTTGGTTTAAAGAGCCCTTGTTTGTACGGTGAATTAGTCAATTAATTACTGTAACAGTCACTGGTCTGGCTGCTTGAAAATTACCTAATTTCTTAGCCATCTTGCTTGCTCCCCCACCACCACACGCTGAAGCAATTAAAGCCGAGTCCCTGCCAGGCCAGGCAGCACATGGCGGCTCCCCAGGACCCCCCTCCGCCTCCGGTCGGCCATGGCTTGAGACAGAGCCTGGCTGGGTCTCTCTCCGCTGCCTGCTGGTAAACAGTTCCCCCTCTGCAGGGCTCTGCAAGGGGATTGATCCCAAAGCTCACAATTTGGGTGTGAGCAGCTGAGCATCCTGTAGCAGGCAGGCAGTATGGCACAGCTGAGGCATGCTAAGCCACAGGCATGAGTTGGGGCAATCCTAAATTATAGTGTTTGGGTTTTTTCTTTCTTTCCTTTATTTTTGGCAGGTGGGAGAGCAATCCATCCATCCATCCCAGAACTTCCTTCTGACTCCTCTGAGAGGAGGCAAGATATTTGATTTCATGAGGAGTTCCAGGCACTGCTGGGATAAAAGCTGTCCTCAGTCTCAGCTCTGCCTCTGATATTATACCCATACCTTAAACTGCAAGGGAACGAGAGCACGATGCATTGCAATTCAGCAAGGAGCTCTACTTTGCAACTAAAAGCTCATTGTTGCTCATATTATAGCAAGGTCTTGAGCTTTCAAAGGTACAAAGCAAGCTGGAAAGCATTAAAATGCTTATATTTGTGCCTTGTTTTCATTAACATCCCACTGAGCATCTTTTTGAAAGGCATAGGAGAAGGAGAATTGGGTCCACCCTCTGCTAGCCTGGGTCAGCTCCGGGTAAGCGGTCCAACACTGATCAGCGTCTAACAGCTGGTGAAATGCTCCTCTGACATAAGTGTGATTTTCATCTATCAGCCTCCTGTCAGGTCAGAAGTGGTTCTCCCACCTCATTTTCTCTCTTGGATCACAAGCACCACTTCCTGATGCAGAGGAGACAGCCAAACTTGGTATTTGTCTGGCATTTCCCTCATCTTCCTCTTCCCCCATGTAAAGGAAGAAAAAAAAAAGGGGAAAAAAACCCAAAATAAAACAGCCAGGCTCAACAAATTTAAGCTCTCAGTCTCCTTTCTCCTCCCCAGCCCTCACATTTGACAACACAAGCCTGCTGCCTCTGGATGCTAAGGCAGAGGAGGGGGCCACCCATATAAAATATTTACAGTCCAGTTGCCAGGCTAGTGTCAAGCTGAAATGGAGCCTGCTCAAAAATAGCACAGCTCTCCAGAGCTTTCACTGAAAAGCACTTTAGAAAATAAAAGGTGAGTTGTTTGGAGAGGAATTTTAGCATAGTTACTACTACTTTGTTACAAATGAGCTTGGAAAACTTCAGAGCCATGCAACCATCACTTTCATGAATCCCATGATCCATATGACCTGAGGAAATCCCAGAAAGGAGCACAGGGCCTATTCCCACAGCAGCACCCTCCATCCCACCCTTTCAACCAAGGTATGAAAATGGGCAGACCCCAGGGCAGGAGCTACCAAAGGGGATGAGAAAAGGTATAGGTGTTCTGAAGGAAAGTAATGTCCCACTCCAGACCCTGCCACCTGAGCCTCCATCAGCACCAAGCTACTTATTTCAGAGGGATCATAGGGTTTCATATCACTGAGACACTGAATTTCATCCCACATAGACTTAAACTTTTAAGAAAAAGCTTCTCAAACAAAAAACCCCAAACAACTGCATAAACCCAGAGAGAGAAAACTGTAAGGTAAATACAACTATATTAAAGTCTCAGTAAAGCAAAACAGAGCATCCAAGATAAACTATGAAGTTTAAGTCTTTTGGTTTACCGACATTTTCTTAAAAATCAAGGGAAAACAAAAGGTTTTCAAAATATATCGCACTAATTATTCACATACAGAGACACACAGAGCTTTGAGCCTCACCTGTAATGCTCAGGAACCACAGGCACCGTGTTTGAAGCATCATGGGAGGTTTCAGGTCTTATCAATGCATCTATTATTTGGGGCAATTTCTTTCCCTGAGGGTGACTTGGTTTGCCCAGCACAGCACGCACAGCAAAACAGACTTGCTCTCAAGACATGCCACAGCATGATGCTTATTTCATGAATGTTTGTAAAGTGCTTAAAAAAAAACCCTCAGAAAGGAGATGCTCTGGCAGTACAGATGTGGTTCTCTTTGTGAAATGCAGTTTATTTCAGTGGTCTGTGGTTTAGCTGTTATTCAAAAGCAACCAAGATTGGTAGATAGGGCTTTTAATAGAGCTTCTCCCTCACACTTTACAGAACCTGCCTTCCAGGCTCTGCTCCAGACCTCTGCCTCCCTTCCAGTCTCCCATTTCTGACTGCTCCCTTTCCCTCCTACTCACTCCTCTGCTCTCTCCCTTTTCCCTAACCCTGCCTTTCTGACACAGCAAGCAGCTCTTATCTGCACCATTACTTTGTGGGCTGCATTACTTATCTCCCCCGAACCCTGACATCTTTTTTTAGCAGCTGAGTTGTCAGTGCAGGTCTTGTCCTGCTCTCAAAGCTTGCAGAACTGTGTGCAAGGGATCTCCCTACCTAAGGGATCAGAAGCCATACGTGCATTTCCCAGCCCCATGCTCCCTGAAGTCACATGCCTTCAGGCACTTCCACAAGTAAAAGCTATTGCTAAGCCACAATCATGTTAGGATAATTCTAAAGTCTCATGGGATCAGAGCTGCAATTCTCCTCTTTAAGCTCAGAGTAATTTAAGGCTTTCCACAGTTTAAAGAAAAGTTGAGAAGACAGATCCTATAGGCAGTGTTTTGCTGACCTGCATTGTTTTCTCTCCCCTCCCTGACTGCTCTCTAGGATGATCACAAAGAACTGATTTCAGAGCACAGCAGTCACTCCTGATGCATATTCCTCACTTAATCATGATCCCTAACAAGTCCCTACTATTAGTGTAAGCAGGGGAGCCAGGAGCAATCAGGCCAGTGGATAGATGCTACATTAATCCCCATGGTCCAATCCTGCAGACATCAGTCAGGCAGAACTCCCACTGTAGCAAACCCTTTTGCCTATTTAAGAATCACAGAATCTGGTCCCTCCACGAGCCCCAGAGCCAACACTTAATGAAAACAGATGGAGGACAAGAGAAAATGCACTATATACACAGAGCACAGTATTGTTCTAAAAGGAAATGTTTTTTCAGTTTCCCATGAGGCATCAGTAGCTCTTCAAACAGAGCCCAAACCTCAAGTATGCCAGCGATTCAACATTCAAACACAAGCTCATTACCTCAACCCACCGCTTGCAATTTTAGTCACTTTCGTTTTTCAAAAGCCAAAATCAGAGCTTCAGGAATCACTGTGAATAGCTGACAAGCACAGCTCCTCTGCGAGCGTAACTGCTGAGCACTTTCACTGATCAGGAGCTAGGAAATCCTCCGATTTCCCAGACAAGGTTTCCTTTACCAGCAAGGGGGGGTCCGGCACAGCCACTCAGACCTTCACCAGCTCCTTTCTCTTCCCCCACCAAAGCAGAAGACAGCTTTGCTGTTTTAGCCTCTCCTAGCAGACTTCAAACAGAATTTGTTCTGGTTCCAAAAGGAGCATAAATGTCAGAGAGAAGGAGACACAGTTAAGTGCTTTGTTATCCACTACACTACACCTTTGTTTCCTGGGAGATTTGGGTTAGGTTGGCATCAGGTATCACCATCCAGGCTGTTCTGCCTTGCTTCAGGGTTATCCTTTCAGCAAGGAGCTTTGCGTGTATGTTCAGGTGTGTTAGCCAAGCTGCTCCCTCAGAGCATTGCACAAGACCAAGGGAGGTGATTTCCATTAACAAGCTATGCCGTTTTAATTGGGATATTGTGTTCCGCTAATTGATTAGTTTATAAAAACAGCATAGGTACAACAATATGGAGAAAAAAGCCTCCACACCAAGTCAGATCTGCTCATTCAAGTTAGCTAAAGGAAGGTACAGTCTTAGGAAACCATATACAATTTCCTCCTGGCCCACAAGCTGCCCTGGCAAAACACAATTAAAACCTTTGAAAGAATACTTACACTTCCTGCAGGTTCGACAGCTCTGCAAAGGCAGAAGGATCAATCTCCGTCAACTTGTTGTAGCTCAGGTTTCTGTTAAAATAAAAGACAGGGGGATCAGCACTCTGCAGTTACCATGCTCAGCAAGACACAGTTGTCTCAATTATTCTGGATTGCACTGGGAGGATAGTTTGTTCAGGTTTTTTTTGTTGTTTTTTAAACAAAAAAATACTTAAACATGGCAGAGCAGCACTTTTCTGCTGAATACATGAGTGACTGAGTTTAGTTCCATGAACAAAATGTTATCTAGCTCTCCCTAAGCTTTTTCCTCTTTTGCGTTAGTGTGGTTTTAATTTGTCTTTATATTACACAATTACATTTATTGTTCTTCTATTGGTTATTCACAACCACAAAACTAATCACAGATTAATAGGATATTTCCTGACTAATTTAAGTCTGAACTGAAACAATCAACAAACCTTCTGCTAAATATTTTATAGCTATATTCACATGGAGTATTTTATATACCACTGTGCATTACATACAAAGTATACACACACATGTATGTACACATAGTAAGTGTAAACAAAATATATTCTACATTATACAAGATGATATTATTACTCTATCACTAAATTATTTTTTTAATCAGTAATTACAGCTTTCAGCCAGTCATGTAGCAATACACACTCTGGTCCTCAAACCCAACCGATGCTTTCCAACTACCCCACAGTCCAAATCCAGATCATATTCTAGCACTTCACTGACAGATGGCTAATAGGTTGTGCTGTGTTATCTGACAACAGCCTGGTGGGAGAGCAGACCTGCCTCACAGGGCATCCCCGCTTGGAAATACATCCAGAGCTCAGTGCTGGAATGCACTGTGAGAATTGCTAGGGACAGCAAACAGACAAAATAATGCAAATAAAGCAACAACTCCAAAAACCACAAGCAAGAGCTTTGCCATGCTTTGCTGTAGCATCATACGGTGCGACAACATCATCTCCTCTTCAAGATACGCACTATCAGCACGCCACACGCAACAGGTCAAACCTGCAGCCAGGGACTTACCCGAGAGCACAGATCAATTAAGACCAAGTGACTAATGATGTGGAAATTAACAAATGGCCTAATTAACATGATGTATGCAGCATTAGCAAGTTCCTGTGAGTGTGTAATCTAAAGAGGGAGGAGGCAAATTGATGGGTGGTAGCAAAAAATCCACCACAGTAAGTTGTACAGAAATTGTGAGGGGGACCTACTTCAATTTTACCCTGCTCCACACCCTGCTCTAGGATATTATCCTGGGTAAAATTAAACCCTCCTGTCTCCTCTGTGGGGAGGTTACACCCTCTTACTGCACCTCTGAATGTGACCCAAAAGATTCATGGCCTGATTTTAGATAAGCCCTCAAACTTACAGCTGCTTATTCAAACCACTAAGCCAGTCTAACTAGAAAACTGGCCAGTCTTCCCCGTTTTGTGTATTTTCTTTGTTTTAAAGCTGCGCCCACAGAAACCAAGCAGGTAAATAGGACCTAAGTCACCAAGGCACCTACTCAACTTTTACCCACACTACCTGAGCCAAGAGCTGAGGGACACAAAAAAGGGCAGCTATCAGAAGGGCACAGACAGAGACCTCCTGTTTGATTTGCTCGTGCTAACCCACTGCACTTTGCAGCAATGCAGAGAGAAAACTAGGCCTACAGCAACACTTACAAACATCAAGACTTGAAGGACTACAAAGCTTACCAACTTCACATGATTAGCGGAAAACGATAAACACCTCTTTCGAGATAAAAAGCAGCTATTGATCACCCACCCTTCCATAATGCATTTATGGGAAGTCCTCAAAGTGTTCCCCTGCACACGGGAACCATTTGATAGTTCACGTACATACCATTCCCCATCTCTTCAGAGCGGCCAGCTCCGAAGATGGCTCCTTGCGTCTTGCCTGAAATGTACTATTTTTCTTTCCACTGCAATACTTGCAGTGAAAGAAGACTCTACAAATCAACAGTGTAAGCTGGCTCTTAACAGAATCTAGACCTTTAAGCTACAGAGGAGTGTAAAACCTAACCAAGCATCTAGTTTTAAAATATGCTGTCCTGTAAGCCCTTACTGTCTTTTAAAACACTCAAGAGACCTTTAAATCAATACCAGCCTACAGCAGATATCCATTTCACTATGAACTCAAAGGCATTTATCTAAATAAAAGTCAAACTGCAGTTTAAACTCAGAGTGCATTTGAAAGCCAAGTCCATATTCATAGCACAATTACGAATTAAAGTGCAATTTGCCCACAGATTACATTACTACTATTTTTTTTTTTTTTTTAACCACACAGCAAAATCAGGTTGGAGCTTGTCCCTGCCTGATGCACAGGCAAAATGAGAAAATACAACAGGTAATGTCCTATAGGCTCAACACAAAGATAAAGCTGACACAGAAATACTAGTGACAAACTCTAAGGGGGAATACAGCCACGGTCATGACCGTGCATGAATCTATCTGTTTTCATGTATTTCTATGCCTTCTATTGCTGCAAACCTTTGCATTTCTTAAGGTAACATTTATCCTCAAAACATTCCTCTGCAATAGGTGAAGAGGCTATTTATAAACCAAACCCTGAGAATCACAGGAACCAAACTGATCACCCCTACACTTGTCAAGGGACCAGATCCCTGGCTTAGTCAATGCTCAAACACTGAACGATGCTGATGTGAACTTCAGAAGTTGACAAGTGAAAAAACAAAGGTCTTTGCAAAAATTAAAGGATTTCATGGCCATGCTTTAACATCATCCAAAGTGACTTTCTGACTATTGTTGCTGCCATTGCTGAACATTAGGGTCATTGCACAAGTAGCTGGCTCTTCAGGTATTTTGCCTATGCTGACAACAGAAAAGACTTTCCAATGGTTGCAGCAGAAACGCTGGTGAACCCCCACTTCTTGTACACCAAAGCCTTCCGTACTCCCCGCGCTACTCATCACTGACAGCCATCTATCCTCACCAAACACACAATACACTGTTCAAAAGTCAGTGGGGAAATGAAAGCTAGAAATACAGGGTCAGTGTAAAATAAACAGGAGACTTGAAATTAAATAGATACACCAAAATAAACAGTTTACTCAATTTCTGAGACTAGCTGTACTTTAACTTACATTAAAATGCCCTGGAATTTCTAGCCTGAAGCATTAACAATCAAAGGATGTGTTTCCCAGAACTCAGAACCCCTCACTAGACAGTATTTGGCATGCTAGTCACAGCATGCAAATGGGAAAAAAGAATTAACGTGCTCCAATAGATAGATCATTGGGACCAGGAGTCAGGAAACCTCTGTCTATTCCCAGCTCTCTTAATCTCCTGCTGGGTGACCGGGTCACGTCACATTACCTCTCCAGAGCTTTTGTTTCCACAGCCACCCTTTGTCTGTCTTGTCTATTTAGACTGTAAATAAAATTGAGGTAGGTATTGTCTTGGTTTGCCCAATGCTGATGAAACGAGGCTTCAATCTTGGCTGGGCTCCAGTAATGCAAATAAAGGGAACTCAAAACTTGAGGTCACGGGTGTATATGACATTCCCCCACCACTAAGCACAGGTCCCAAATGTATGGCAGCGCACGAAGCACTGCAGTGGCTGTAACATCCCAACCAGCTCGACCTCTCCAAGCTGAGCAGACCAGCAATGCAGGCTGGCTGGAGATGTCAAGCTTGGGGGCACAGCTCTCCCATCGCTGAAAACCATCATGTTTCTGCTCTGCCATGGCACAGAACATGTTCCTTCAACGAGTCCCTTGGCCTGATGCCATGAGGTACTGCAACAGCTCATTGAGCAAGCGCTTCTGCCAGTATTCTAAAATGTCTTATTCAAAGGAACAGAGTCCTCAAAACCCAAAGCCAAACCCCTGTCCCTTCCCAGATCAGCACTCCCCTAAACCATCTGAGCTATCTCAGGTGCTGGGCATCTCTTCAAAGTGGCAGTTTATAAAGCATCATCTTCAGTAGTTTATGCCAATCCCCAGAGACCATGTCTTGGGCATGCGGTCAGCCCCTTTCCTGGCATCTGCATCTACCTACGGGGTTAGCCGAGCCCAAGTGTGGGCAGACCCACACAGAAAGCAGACTGCTCCATGTCCTGCCTGCTTCTCTGCATGGGTACATGTTTCTGATGAATTACTCATAGGAGGATATTTTGATCCTTCCAAGGCAACTGTGGAAAGAAAACAGCATTCAGACAAGCAACGTAAATCCTGGACAAGAGCCTGCGCTGTAAGTTCAGGGAAGCATCCTATAAAGGTCAGAAGCTTCTACAGATGGCAGAAAAGACAGAGCAGAGCCACCAACTTGAATGGCCCCTAATGTTCAGATTGTTTTTCCTTGTTGAATAGAAGCTGATCTGAAGTTTGTGGGGTTTTTTTAAACTTTATTTTGACTTAATGGCATGAGAAGTGCTCTGCACGTTATTTATCCTTTACATATTTCAAGTCTTCCTTGTATTAGCTAATCCCAACAACATAGGGTTGTTCCCCCCCCCTGCCCCCGTCACCAAGATGCCCATGGTGGGGAACCAAGAGCCTGTTAAATCAATATGAGAAGGGCCCTGTTCTGTCTATTCATCCACTCCTGTCTCTAAATAAGAAAGCAGTGTTTGCCTTCAGTCAGCATTGTGAAAATGGCACTGCAGATCACTGAACACTGCAGAGACTGAAAGGAAAGTCTTGTTAAATAACCAGGTACATAGGCTGCCTTGAAACCACCTCCCAAAAGTCATAATGCTGTCGCAAAGAGCCCTGCTTGCCAGCAAGGGGGGATCAGTCAGCTCTTTGAACCATGAGATGCTAATCCTGCCTCCTTGGGCAAGGTACAGGGTAGACCGGGAGTTCACGTAGAAGTTTTGGCTCTGCTTTGGGAACTTGACCAGCATGGAGAAAAACCATCTCTTCTGAAAACAGATGTGCCTGGCAGGCTCACCAGACAAAGGAATAGAGACATATGTGGCTCCTGGTGTCTGCTTACCATGATGATGGCAGCTGAATTCCGTTCAGTGAGGTGAAGGTTTTCGACCCTTGCGTCAAAATCATTTATCTGTCA